TGCTAACTATGAAGTTTTTATTGTATGCCCTTGCTGCTATGGTCATGTTATTAGGTGGATGCCTGAATCCCATTTTGATTACTTGTATTTTATTTGTTGAGAGCATCTGGTGCTTTGGGGGGTTATTTTTTATGAAGGTAAAATCAATTTATGTAAATGTATAGCTAGTTACACAGTACATGGTGTCAGGTAAAGAATAGCACTGAGAGAAAGAAACAAGAATAGTTCCTGTTATACAATACCTGTCTGCTCCAGTTGACATCTGGACAATTAAGAGGAATGATTTTCCCCATAGGCAGTAGCACTTTTGCCCTTGGTAATCCAGTCTCCAGAGGCTAGGGATAACCCAACTCTACATGTAACATCCAGGAGACCAGAAGTAACTCTGAAGAAGGCCCTAAGCTTAAATTTCAGGGGCTTTTTTAACTTCACTGAAAATGAGGTTGTACCCCAAAGGACACAAAATATGCTATAGGGCACAATTAAAGAGGAAATGTGCTGAGAGTCAAACACACAGATTTCTAATGTGAGATTTTTGAACACAAAACTCAACCTTCTGGAAAGAATTTATGACTTCTTGCAAGAAGTTTTTCTTCAGTTCTTTTCTGAAAAGATCTTTCAATTAGCTAGTCTGTTTATTATGCCTTTGTACTTGTGCCACCTTGTTTAATGGAGCTTTAAACTCTCTTTTCTTCTGATCATTTAGCTTTTACTAAATAGTTTCAGTTTTTATATGCTGACTGGGGAAGGAGGACAGGAGAAACGAAAAACAAAAGTACAAATGTAAAGACAGAAATTTGCAAGAAGATGCTTGTATGATGCAGCACCAACATGGCTTTCTGCAGTCATCTGCAGATATTTTTTGTGTGAATCAGAAATCTTTTGAAGACCTGTATACCCATCAGATTTTGAAAGCTGATAATGGTGATGTTCCATGATCTTTAGAAAAAATAAGATGCTTTATTAGAACTCATAGAAAACCTTTTATTATTGTAGTGTTATTTTATTGTGTTGTATCTGAACTAAACAAAAACCTATGAAAAAAAGCCACACACCCATGTACAAAATTTTGATCCCAGTATTGCCATCAATAGATTGCCAGCAATAGCTGTCTACTCAAAACACAGCTTCTAGTCCTGGAAAATCTTCAAGATGAAAGCATTTAAAATAAAGTCAATTTACCTGTCTAGCATACAAGACTCATGTAAGCAACAGAATTTTTGTGTTCATTGGGTGGTCCAAAAAAATTATTGTAGACAAATCAATTTTTTTTTTAATATGGTAAAAGCTCATCTAAGTTTTATTTGACTAAGACATGGTGGGTTTTGACTCTTCGAGTAAAAAAAACCCCATCAAAATATATATGGAAATAAAATTTCTATCAAGAAAGAGTTTTAGTGTTGATGACTAGGGTTGCTTATTTAGCAGGTTAAGTACATCTAAACGGAGACGTACTTAAGATCCATGGAAACCCATCTACTATCACAGAAAAGCACTTATACAATCAGCCAGACCATGTAAACAAAAATCTGATCTGGCAAACCCAGTTACTTGTTTCTAACATAGTGTGTTGGAAGCCCCAAAACTGTTCTTTTCTGTCACTCATAAATTTTATGCAAATATCATAGAAGGTTTAAACAAAAAAATTCAAAAGGACCCTACAATAGAAGCACTCCTCTGAAAACCTATTCCACCATCCACTGTACAGGGACAGTAAGAAGGAAAGAAAGCTGAAACTGAAAAACTATCCAGTTTTTACCCAGTGGAGGTAAGGGGATAAAAAACATGGAGGAGCAGACAATTACAGTTCCCTGTTTCTACCCTGATATCTCAGAACTCTGGTCAGGAGCAATATTTGGAATAAAGTCACAGAAGCCATTAGGCAGCCTCACAAATCCTAGCTGGGATGCTATGGCAGCTGGAAGAAATCTCTGGCAAGAATGATGTTGACTTTTTTTTTAACTTCTTTCAGTATTTCTTTTTCTACTACGCAAACTGATATTGTAAACACCATTTTATTTGAAATCTAATCTAATTCTTCTGGACTTGAAAGTGCTGATCTAATTCAACAAAGCCATTTATGTTAGAAGTAGACTGAAAAAATATATTATTTGAATGGGATTCCAAAGAGTTACTGAGTAAGTCTCTGCTGAAACTGCACAAGATGATGTGAGAGCTGATAGTCAGAAGTTCAGGAAAATGTGGGCTGTCAATGGTCAGGAGAACTTCTGGCATCATGACAAGACAGAAACTTCTTACAGATTTCATAGTTAAGATGATTGGGCAGACCTACAGCTGATGCAAATATTGCTTTAATAAAATGAGCCAAGACACTCTGCCACTGAAAACTCTGTGCCAACTTCTTCAAAATCTTAAATTCATACACTATTTTTCTTGGCATAAGCACAAAAATGGACAGAGCAAGAAGAAAAATTGCTAAAGTGTTTTAAAAAAAAATCTACTAGTACCCCTCAAATTAAAAATCATAATTGATCTAAGAAAAATATATGTAACTCCAGACATCCCCAAAGGACTCTTAATTTCTGAGAGATTCAAGTTGACACCCTGGCTCAAAACTGTAAACAGGTTGTAAAATTATTTTTGAATGGACATGCAGAGTTTCCTTTCTAATAAATGCTCTCAGACTGACATCCAGAGTCACACATAGTTAGGGATATATGAGCCCACCATTAGTACAGGAGTTTTATGTAACTGGTTTTTTTCCCTCTTGTCTTCAAAAACCACCTACTTGAAAAAACAGATATAAATACTAATTGTTCATAGGCCTCCTTTTCTGAGATGGGCCTTTAGCTGCCAACAAGGTCACTCAGTTTTCTTGACTGTTATTGGTTAATTTGTTATCTTCAATATGGTCTCTTATTAACCAATCTATTAGTCTAACTGTCCTTTTCAGATAATGTAATACCTTCATCCTTATTTACTTATCAGCTAAATTAATTTTGCTCCATTGAAGCAACCATATAAATCTTAGACTATAATGTGAGATAAGATATAAAAATGCAGCCATGAAAATTTAGGTATGAACTAATTTTTGATAATGTGACACATGATTTTGAGGAAATCTGGAAGACATGACTGCATCAGTGTGGTAGGTCTGCAGTTCAAAGTAACTGGTACTGGCAATCTGACATCAACTCTGCAACTATGACCCTGAACTTAATGCATGTTGGTGCTCAGAGTGCATCCTTTCCGTTCCTATTCAACAGGAATTAATCTTTCTCATATACTCCAAAGTCATTCCACAGAGTGAAGCAAAAATCAATAAATAGGGGAGATCAGGAGATTCCCTTCTCTCTTCTTTTTGTACACTGGTATAGATGCATCCTGACTTGCAGGAACATTGCAGGGTTCTCTCAATTCTTTACTTAAAATTACAAAATAGCTATTTCAGTGTTCCCAGAAGAACAGCAGGTCTGTTGGCTTCACAGGCGGGAAGGAAATTGCCGCTGGTGTTCTGGAGCAATGGAGTAATGGGGTGATTATATTGATAGTGGAAGCAGAGATTTTGCAGAGGGTGCAAAGACAAGAGACCACACAAGTTCAGCAGATCTCTGTGTACTTGCAAGTTAGGTGCCAAGAGATGACAAAGAGAGAACTTTATATTTGAAAAACAAGGTATTCAGAAAGTGACATTGACATTTGTTGGCTGCAGCACCAACGCAGGAGCTATCTGCAAGCTAATCACCACATGGGATAATAGATCACTGTGAAGCTGAGTTAATACTTTTAAATGACCTCGCAAACTGAGATTCACTTTCTTGTAGTTACAACACACAGCACAAAGACTACTAGGATAAAGTTTTTCTCTCTCCTTGTGGAATCATGATTATTTGATAGACTGGTTTATTTGACATGAGTGGTTTTCAATTCAAAGAAACAATCACGTTGACTGACATTAATTGCGGTTATGTTTATCAGCTAATAATCTTCACATCCCACAGCAGCATTTCTGATTATTTTGCTTGACCTTGATATCTGACTGAGCATCCTACATCTCCTCAGGTCATCCTTTTTCATTCTTAGCCATGATTGCAGGTTTTCCAACTTCTACTTAATAGCAATTTTGTCATATTACAAAGGATACCAAATGCCAACTTCAGCAGCTCAGGGGCTCACCATCAAGCTGGTGTAATATTTTTCACCAGTGACCTTCCCATAGGCAAGCAGTGCTGAATATTCAGAATCAACTGCATATATGAAATCTGGAACATGCATTGAAAAATGAAAAAGTGACCAGGTTAGTCCCCAAAAATTTAGGTTGAGGCAGACAAGAGAATAATATCTGCTTTTACAGATTTTCTCTTCTCTTCTCTTCTCTTCTCTTCTCTTCTCTTCTCTTCTCTTCTCTTCTCTTCTCTTCTCTTCTCTTCTCTTCTCTTCTCTTCTCTTCTC